TATTAGTTATATTACTACTTATATAACTACTTATACAACTAGAGTTGAAACTCTAGCTTTATAAGTAGTATAATAATATATTTGTAATTTGGGTATTTGTATAATAATTCATCATCTCCAGTGGGCCATGGCAGCCAAGTTAAAAGTAAGTTAATACAGGCATTATCGCTCATATATATATATATATATATATATATATATATAGCTTGCCACGGGTAAATTGTCGCCATTGTTTATTTTTAATTTCGTGCATGCGTGTTTTTTTTTTTGTCTACCCTACAGTCTATTAGAAAAAGCTCACTATAACACAATTCAGTCCGTCAGAAATTTGGAAACGGCATGTTATACTGATTAGCATTCGCGCCAGAAGCTCTGATATGAACATTTGAGCGTGTTCGGGTGTCAATCTGAGGACAGTGCAGAGGATTCGGAAAGATTTGGATGATATATCCAGTCAACGGCTTGGAGTGATCACTAGTGATGCCTCCTTTCATGATCCTACAGGGCCTCAGACTAAATACGGCGTCCTACTTCAAGAGCCTTCAGGCGGTAGTGCTGGCATAGGTCCACAGGATGTCTTCCGGAAGACTCTATTTCTGGCAACAGGACTACGCACCATACGACAAAAAAGAGGAGAAAGCAATCATGGCTGTCGGAAAATTTCTGCAACTACATCTCACATACATCTGGCCACATAAATACCTAGACTGCAACTCAATTATTATGTGTGGGGTGCAGTTGAGCGGAAAATCAAAGAAACTCCTTGATGCATCAAGGATGAACTGAAGGCAAGAACTATGGCAGTATTCACCAAAGTATAAAAAGGAAAAAGACCAGAATAGTTATAGTTGCAGAAGATTGCGAAGTCGTCTAGATGGCATAGTTAAAACGAATTCCTACTCTGTCCTGGACATTGAGTTCTACCTGGATTCTATCGTCTTGGAAATTTATATATATATATATATATATATATATATATATATATGTATGATGTATGTATATATATATATATATATTTTAAATATTATATATATATATATATGTATGAATGTATGTATATGTATATATTTAAATATTATATATATATATGTATGAATGTATGTATATATATATATATATATTTAAATATTATATATATATATATATATATATATATGTATATATATTTATATATATATATATATGCGTGTGTGTGTATTAACCACTAATATTTACTATATATATATATATATATATATATATATATATATATATATACACATTTATATATATATATACATACACATTATATAATATGTATATATATATATATATATACATTATATATAATATACATATATATATATATATATATAAAATTAATTGATTTAAAATATGTTTTTTTTTCGCTACACAGTTCCAACCATGTTTCAAAAATAGAAGCTAAAACCCCAATTTAATTTTGCAATTAAATTAAAAGCATTAGTTCCATTTCATGTTCTTTCTTTATATATATATATATATATATATATATATATATATATATATATATTGATGCATGTTTCATTAAATAATATAGACAAGTTTTATCTATTTATTTTATGCAAGTTCCTTTCATATTGTCTGATAAGCTTAATAACATTATCATGTTTTAATCCTATCTAAGCTTTCGGCTTACATAAGCCATTATCACAGATGAAAATTACATTTCAATATATCAAACAATACATAAACAAAATAATAATGATAGTGTTTTTTTGTTGCATGAAAAATTTCAAAGCAACGACAAACTCGTGTATACGAGACGCGGAAGCGAAAATCGCATCACATCTCGTGATGTCACACAAGACCACGCGAGAGTGAAAACGAGAAGTATTAAGTATTGGAAGCCGTTGGTATAATCCAATGGCTTCTGTTATCAATTATAGACATTTAAGAATATTTGTGGAGATTTCATAGTTTATTTTGTTCAGATTAGGTTTCAACTGTTTTATAGCTTCAAGAAGTTTTAGTTTTTGTTTATTGTTTTCATGTTTAAGTATAGTTGTGTTTTCAACGAGGATTTTCCGGAATTGTGTAAGCGGCCAGGCATGTTATTTTAAATGGCTAAAAATGTTATCATTCAAATGTAGAGTCAAGCGTCGTGAAAGCGAGTTTGTGGTGTGACCATCATAGATATTATTTAATCAATTGGAGATGCAATCTCCCAAAGGGCACTTGAATTTGTAAATTATGTTGTTTTTTTACAAATCACTAACGGGGAAGGGGAAAGAATAATTGCGAATAATTAAGTTGGATATACTAGATTTAGTGTAGTATATGATTAACCTTATTTTCTGGTTAAGATTTGTTGTAGATACAAGGTGTCCCTAAAGTCCGTGTGCACTTTTAATAATTTATAACATTAAAGTGCACACAAACTTTATGGACACCCTGTATATTAGAATTTACTAATTTTTTTTTTTTATATTTTCATCTTGTTTATAATTAGTATGCATTTGCCTACGATATAGGAGATTAATATGTTTGGGATTAGTTGAAGCAGTATTATGTTCTACTTGCTTAGTATTAAGACATTTTTAAGAAAGCATCTTATTTGTTCATCAACGATATAGTTTGGAAAGCTATTATTAATAAGTGTTTGTTTTTGATTCATTAGTTCACTGTAAAAAATCTGTTTTGTAGATTAATTAGTTTCTGCACGATGTATTAGATTTTTTATAATTGCTATTTTGTAGTAATATGGATATTCGTTTTTGTAGTTAAGAGTACATGAATTTATGCTTTTGTATGGCGAAATAGTAAATTTGTTATTACTTGTGTTTATCAATATGTCAAGGAAGGGAATTTTATTAGTAGTATTGAGTACATATGTGAATTTAAGGACAGAATTATTTTGGAAATGTTTTTGAAGTTGAAATATTTCATCTGTATTTTTAACTAACTTAAGGATATCATCAACATATCTTAGATAGATGAAAGGTTTTTTAACATCTGTAAATATCTTATTTTCAAGGTTCGACATGTAGAAATTGCTAAATGTCGAACCCAGTACTGAACCTATGGAGACACCATCACGTTGTATATATATATATATATATATATATATATATATATATATATATATATTATTATTATTATTATTATTATTATTGTTATGATCAAAGAAAGGGACTTCAGTAGTACAAGCTAATAATAGTTTCCGTAATATATTAGGATTAATTTTAAGTTGGGGTAAAGATGAGTTACTGTATATATTTCTTGAAATTATGTCAATAGTTTCACTAACAGGGACATTAGTAAATAAGTTTTCAACATCAAGTGAAGCTGTGATTTCATTGTTGGGTTTTTCACTTTTTAGGATTTGGATTACTTCTAATGTTGACTTAACACTATATTTACTAGGAAGATAGGGAGTAATAAGTTGGTTAATGTATTTTGTTAGATGATATACAGGAGTTGGAATTTGCGATATGATAGGACGGAGAGGATAGTTAGGTTTATGTGTTTTTATAGTGCCATATATGTAACCAGGTCTATAATCACCAACAATTTTAGAAAGTTGTAAAGAGTTCTGTTCAGCATAATAAGCATAAATGACTTTATTAAGCTTTGATTTTCGTTGGTTAGTCGGGTTGAGTTTGACGAAAATGTTGGTCTTATCAGCTTTTTTTACGATTATGTCAGGGTGGTTGCCTAGTTCTTGTGCTGCAATTTTTAGTTGTTTAGAAAGTATTTTGAGGAGTTTCTGCTTTTATAAATAGACAAAACTTGTCTATATTATTTAATGAAACATGCATCAATGACAATTGCTGCCTAAATACACACACAGATATATATATATATATATATATATATATATATATATATATATATATATATATATATAATGGTAATAATAATACTCAGTTGGTAAAAACACTCGGATGGCACAATTTGCAAATATATCAAAACAAACTGTTATCCGAGGAAAAAAATTGAAAATTCGTCCATATTTTATTTGAGGTTTATATGAAATATCCGAACAAGGTAGGTTAAATGAAATATTTGAAAATCGGTTGAATGTTTATATTTTTATTTTTTTGTGATGTTTCATTCTCGACAGATATTATCAAAACAACTAAAAAGTTGCGTTCCTAATTCTTCTTGGAAGCAAAAAGTCAACTAAGAAATTTAAAAAATTAAACATACAAATGAATTTCATGTTTTGCATGGTATATACGTCATTTTTCTCAATATATATGTTTATATGGCACTGCAATGCATAAAATGAAATTTATTCTTTTTCATCCATATCAAAACTAAAGCCTCCTCTTGCAACAGAACGAACTTTTTAGATTACACATTATTAATGAAGCATAAATTAAACAAATTATATTAAAATCTATTTTAGTTATTTCTGATATTTAAAACACTAAATCTAACTCCGTCCAGCATACTAACCCTCGGGCTTATTAACTCAAATAAAGTTTATCATTCAGATTAGTAATATAAGTGCTTTATTCATTTCCTGATATTTTTTAATCAGAAGCCATACATCAGCACTGGTCCTGAACAGGGTTCATTTCCACAAATGTACCGTTGATCCACATAGATTACGTCATTTGCCAATGCCTGTCCAGGCTCGTCTGTTTTTGTTTCCATGGTTTCCAACCAGTGTGTCACTCTTAAGTGCGAGGCGATAGTTTAAATATCAACCATGTGTAAATATTATCACTAATATGAACAGTTCTTCGAATTATTGAAACGAAACTTTATTTTGAAAAATGAAACAATAGTCTATTATAGAAAAGGTGAAACAGTTAAGGTAACGAGAAACTCTTCTCAAGGAATGAGCCCCGCGTATTTAACAGTAAGATTTTCGATGTGTCATGCTGATAAGTATAACTGATTTTTTTTTTTAGTTTTTAGAATATAAAATTCAAATGAAATGTTTTGCAGTAGAATCAAATATGAATGCTGATAAAGCAACCTAACAGATAGGAAAATTTGGTTAAATAATTGGAAACGAACGGGAAAGATCATTGGGGCGGGAAGGAAATGCCACTGAAAAGAGTACGAGAAAGAAATGGCATCTTAAAGACGGATGGGAAAAAAATGCTACCGAAAGGATGACGGGAAGGAAATGGCACCTTAGAGGGGGGCGCGGGGATATGCCACCGAAAGTAGGACGGAAAGGAAATGCCACCTTAAAGGGGGACGGGATGGAAATGCCACCGAAAGTAGAACAGGAAGGAAATAGCACCGAAAGCAGAACGGAAGGGAAATGGCACCGAAACGAGGACGGGAATGAAATGGCACCTTAAAGGTGGAACGGGAGGAAAATGTCACCGAAAGTAGGACGAGAAGGAAATGGCACCTTAAAGAGGGACGGGAAGGAAATGCCACCGAAACGAGGACAGGAAGGAAATGGCTCCAAAACGGAGACGGGAGAGAAGTGCTTCAAAAAGAGGAACGAAATACCACCGAATGGTGGACTCAAAAGAAATACCACGAAATGCCACCGAAAGAGGGACGGGAAGGAGATGCTAGTGTAAGTTGAACGGGGAGATAATGCCACCGAAAGAGAATGGAAAGTTGCTGCCTTTAAAGGCGAATGAGAGGAAAACGACTGTGGAAAAGAATGTGTGACAACTGAAACTGAGATTTAATATGGATTATTTTCTTGGCGGCTGTAATGATAGCAAAAATATCTGGAGGAGAAAACTGATGTTGAATGAGAAATATTAAATGTTAAACTATTACCTCCAAGTAAGGATATAAGAATATTTCCTCATAAACAGTTGGAGAAAAAAATCTAGAAAGAATTGTTGCCTCTTTTATGAGAGAACTGCATCTAAATGAGAGTTAACACTGAGAGATTACAAGACAGAATTCATGACCATGTTTGTTTCTATGTCGGACGAGTGCCTTTAAGTAAATTTTGAACGAACCTTTCACAGCCAACATGATTAAATTCACAGTAATATATACTATAAATACTTTTATTCTGTAAACATCTTTGTAAATAGGACTAGACATTAATGCAGCATCGAAATATGTATTGTCATAGAATTTTTCGCGGTAAATTTCTGTGTAAAAGAAGGCGAAGTGCGGACATTTAAATATCTGGTAAGAGAGGGCGGACATTGTGACACTGAAATCCAACGGCGTATTGGGATTCCAGAACCTAAGAAGAGTACTAAGAAATAGAAAAAAATTCTCTAGAAACAAGGAAAAGAGTACTGAGATATGATATCTGATTTCTGTATGGCTGTGAACGATCTCCTCAAACATGAAACAAAACTTGAAACAACAGAAATCTTGTTCTACAGAAGGATGCTGAGGATACCATGAACCGAACAACGTCAACGTTTTCGAGAAAATTGAACAAAAAACGGAAACTAATACTTAACATGAAGAAAAGACAGTTGAGTTTTCTGAGGTAAAAAATGAGGAAGAAGGGCTTGGAAAATATGATACTCACGAAAAAAAGAGGGGAAAACATTCAAGGCAAAACATCGCATAAGATTGAGGTTGACTAAATGAATGATGGAACAAGGCTTAGGAGAAATAACAGAAATAAGAAGTTTATTAAGAACTACAAGGGACAGGAAGTTGTGGAGAGTCATGATCGCCTCAGATCTTAGGGAACATATATAAATAAAAATGACTTGCAAGCTTTTCTTGCAGATAAGTAGATTGAGGTGTGAATCTGGCCCCCGCTGGCTACACTATACCTATGGCTTTTGTTCTAAATGTGAGCTACGCTTAATAATGCTTTTATTGAAAATAAAAGTAAGATAGCTCTTTGGATCCAGTAAAAAAAAAAAAAAATTTTTATAGTTAAAAATCAACTAAAATTATTATGTAAAATAGTTAATAGGAAAATTTTAAAGCTGGTGGTATGGAATAAAGGAAGAATTCATTCATAAGTTTTGTCTAATAAATATTTTTTACTGATGATCTACTGCTTTGACCAAAGACCGTAGATTGACGGTCGGAGACATTGCGATAAAAAGCAACGAAGATTACTGTGGAGGAAAATATTAAGGAACAGATGGCGGTATCATTATAGAGATGGAAAGAACGGATATACGGAGAGAGCACCAGTGAAAAAGATGGATCGTCAATAAAATACAAATGTTGCAAATATGTTCACGGTAACTTTTCTGGCAGGCTTTCATCTTCGCTACCTTGATTGGCAGCTAGGTCTCTAAATTCAAACTTTGAAATTGTTTGTTTTAACAATCGGTTCGATGCTAACACTTTTTCTTCCACACATTATGCTTGTGGAACTATCTTCCAACTTCCTTCTTTTCTGTCAAATACGACCTTCAATAATTTAAAAGCAATGTGAATCGTCATCTTTCGTCTATTTGATTCCTGTTCTTTTATTGCCCTCTCCTTTGCTTTTACCCTCAGTAACCCCTCCCAACGCTTTTATCGCATTGCTAGGTGTGTAATGATTAAAAGTAAATCAGAGAAAGGAGAACATGGGCAATTATAAAAAAAATCCCTCGCAGAAATCCGAAAGTTCGTGTGAATAATGAAACAGCTTTACAGAAACTAAGCAAAGAAATTGGATATAAGAAAATCTTGTTGAAAACAAAGAAAAAGTACCCAACTGCTATATCACATTTACCTTCCTATACGGCAGTGAATACTGGATAATTTCTCTTTAGTTAAAGAAGAGACTGGAAACTACAAAGTGAATACTATGTACTGACTATATGAGCAAGGAGGATGTTTTTAAAGAAATGGGAGAGCTATAAGGCCACAGAAACTTAAAATCAGAAAATACAGTTGAAATGTTTGAGACACATAAGGAGGAAATATGGCTTGATAAATTTAACAGTCACTGAAGTCAAGAAAGGAAGTGGGAAAGTAAACCAATGAGTTTGTGGGAAGTCAATGGCAGAAAAGAGACATGGCGAAGAGTCTAACAGTTTCTTAGGAAAACAACGGACAGGGAACGATGGCGAGCCATTACAGACCCCAATTTGAAGGAACAATAATGGAAATATTAGCCTTTTTTTTACAAGGGAGCATTCATTAGCCGAAAAGTCAGTGCTAATTTCTTTCGAAATTCAGAAAATATTTCTCTTAAAAGAATTTTTCAAGAAAATGTTTCTGAAGTCCAGTATCTCTTTTTGCTCTTCGACCATTGATGGAAGCTTCCTTCTTAACAATTTCTTTGAAGTGTAGTGGAATGTCAATATCTGAATTATATGACTATTCTCCTAGAGTTGTTCGTGATATTCATTTTAGTTGTATTACTGTTGTTAAAAGTCTTCAAGTGCTGTGGTTTTTGTTATTTTGTACAGTTCTTTGTCTGTGATTCTATAGCACCAGTTTACGAGGTTCTGCGATTAAGTGCTACAAGTTTCATTCGCTAGAAGCTTCTTTTAACCATTGATCTGAGAAAGCAGTTATATATAGCTGGCAGTTATTTCTGAACGACTTTGGTGTTATGTATGACATCCATATAAATGTCTCGATCTGACGAGGCTTTTTAAGAACAATACTCAAGTTTTCAAGTTAATTTTTAGGTTTTGTAGCAACTTGCAAAACTACAACTAGCACAGCTTGGTCTATGTTCAATATCCTTATTGTCGATACTAAATTTGTTATGATTGATGCATAAAACAAATTAGCTTAAATGTTTAGTATTTACTAGTTCCATATCTTGATTTTCTATGATGGATTCAGGGCAGCTACCATCACTGCTTCCATTCTAATTTAAGATTATAGTTTCTGTTTTGGAAGAGTTTATTTTGAGTCTTATTTCTTGGAAAAAATGGGAGATTTTTATTTTTCGTTCAAGATCATTCTTCTCCCAACTATAAATACCTATGTCATTGGTATCATCTATAACAGCAACAAGACATTGGACTCGGGAGAAAAAACAAGAACGCTGTTTGTTTTTTTTTAATAATAGTTTCATTTGGGTGGTACGGAATGATCCGTACTCATCTCCTCAGATTTGTGCTTGAAAATGCGGAAGTTATAGTCTAAAAAATGATTAGATACGTGGATTTCCTCATTACCTCCTTGTATTCCTGCTGCGGGTATTTAAAATGTTTCGCTATTGGTGTCCTCGCAAATTAGTACGAGTTTGTACACCAATATAATTCCGCTAACCTATGTAAATATGCAGTGGGATTTGTGCTTGGAAAACAGTTATTAATGAACAAGAAGAGGAAGTCTTTGTTGACGTGGTCACATGCTGCAATGAGATCAACATAGTAGGTATACACTTTTCTACAGTACATAAAATAATTACTTATGATGCTTATAAATAAAGGTGTCGGTGCCTTTTCATTTAAACTCGTTGCTAGTATTATAATCCAGTGACGAGTAAATATCTTTTACGAGGCGTGACTAGTTAAATTGTAGACAAACACTAGTGGTGGCACTGGATTATCAAAACAACATTGTACAGTAAGGAAAATAGCAACAAAAGAGAATGTGTTGTTATTTTTACCATTAAAACAAATTGCACTAACATGTCACCTACGTACACAGAGAACTGTAACTAATACATGTCAGTGTAGAAGTTGTTTCTGGTTTGAAATGCAGATGGTTCGACAAAACTGCTGTTCTATGTTTCTAACGGAAAATGATAATGGATGTTGTCAGGCAATTAAACCAAATGCAGTTCCACACTGTTTTTTTTTTTCCCTTTTTCAAACGAAATAGCCATATGTATTAATACTTTGGAGAATTTTCATACTGAACGTAAGTACGAGTTTTGCAAAACGGAAAAAACGCTTTAAACTAAGTGCTATTAGCAGAAAAGGCTAAAACCGAAACACAAGAATATATCGTGGATAGAATTTCAGAGAATGCTCGTTGCTCTTCTCAGTGATTGCCTTGCAAACTCAACGAGGGAGCTTTTAGCACGGGTCTCTAAATCTAAATGTACCTTCTAATTTGAAACAGGTGATTTCGTATCATACTCAGCAAGACGGACATTGTACACACGCAATTGAGATAAATAAAACAACGAAACAAGGGTTTATATAATGTTTCTTTAAATTATTTGAACCTCTTAAATCAGCCTTTTATAATGATGAAAAATGTACTACGAAATAGATTTATATATAAAAAAAATTTGTCAAATTCTAACTGATGAGTCCTAAATTTTCCTAATATTGAACTTGATAAATACTTTTCATCTAACGAATATATACTCCCTCCATTTGATATTTATAACACATTATGAAAATGACAATTTATTAAGAATTTTCATCTGATAAAATATTAACATGGTTTTATATAGAATTACAATCAATTCTCTTCTGCAATGAATATTCTTCTAAAATACTTGAAATAACGGAACAAAGCCTAACTTCATCGATATTTCTCTTCGGAATCTACTATATGGCAATGAATGCTAGGCAATGTCTTGCTCAGAGGAAGAAAACTTGGAGTTATAGAGATGTGGTTCTACGGAGGTCATGTGAGAGAGCCGCGTGTTGAGCATGATAGCAAGGAAAAAATATTAAAAAAAAAAAAGAAACTAAAATGTCACTAATAATCGCAATGAAACCGTTGAAATTTCTGAGACACATAAGGAGGAAAGAAGACCGAGAGAATTTAACACTCCCAAGACACAGTGAAAGGAAGAGAAGAAATGGTTATTATAGAGTAACAGACCTAAGGGGACGGTTTGACTGGATGGCAGAACAAGGACACAGAGTAATGGTAGACAGTTAAAAGACAAAAAAAAGGAAGTTGTAGAGGACCCTGATCGCCTATATCCTTAGGAAAATGGCATATAAAAGAATAAGACCACTTCGAGTCTGAGCTAAAAGAAAATATTTGTTAACTTCGCTAGAAGAGAATTGCTGTGGTTTCCGGTTGACTTTTTACGGATTTCTTTTAAATATGGAATCCAAAAGGAAAAGCTTATGGCCATATCACGTTAAAACATCGGTTCCGGGACGATTACTGAAATTAAGCAA